TTCGTTCTTATTGCGAAATAGGAGCACTATTTATCAGTCTGTAATAAAAGACGTGAGGAAATTCTGTCTTTTTTAAAGACAAACATTTTTGAGGCAAAATACCCAAAAAGAAGTTTGTAAAAAAAGAATGTTCATTGTTCCAAAAGCAAACCATTACATGTTTTGGCACTTAATTTAATGCATTTAGAGTGTTTCTTCATTGCTGTTTATAAAGGTTGCTTTTATGCGTTCGGCGTGCCCACAACATCTTTACAAAAGATTTGACTAAACGCAAGTACGGCCGACATTTTCAGCTTGATTAATGAATCAGCGAATCCAAATAAATGTAATAAAAGCTCAATAATCGATACCCTAAAATATTACCTGGATTTATTCGCATTAATTTAAGTGGATTGAAGGTCGGATACGAGATGAACCGTTAATTCGATTTTTCTAATATTAATGGATTTTATCAGGAAGCAAGGGAGAGCGAAGACTATACGCGAACTAAATTCGCGTTTTTCATCGTCATTGGCTTTTGGAGTCTTTTACTCCAAAAAAACCCAAGGTTTGTGCCGAAAATGGGAAAGTAAATGACAATATCTGCATCCATTAAAAAACTGTTTTTATGTATAATACTTTTTATGACTAGTAGAGCAGGAAGTGGTTGTGCTAACAATGTCTTTGCGGTGGGTTTCTCCACGTTTGGCCAACCGAGATAGCATTCCGCTCTTTGATCTGGCTGCTAAAGACATCACAAACGTGATCCGACTGTTGCTACAGTTAGGGGATAGATTGAGCATTCTTATTTTCCCGTTACGGAAAGGCATTCGAATTGCGGGCTTCTAACTGGTAATCATGCAATTAAACAATCTGCAAGTTCAAAGGTGATTTTGAGTCCTTGTTATGAGGTACCAAACTTTTTTTTTTGGTATATATTGATTCATTGCTTTGAAATGGCTACAGATAGTTTTTATGCTGAGCCATATCTCTACCTCCATTAAAGAAATGATGTGCTAGCATAAAAAAACACTTGACCCGGAAGATTAAAAAGGCTTTTGGGAGTTGAAATTATGTCATAAAAGCATTCAATGCATGAATATTACGCTATAAATCACGGTTTTACTTAATATGGGAAAATGACTGATGCTTTTGATAAGTTGTACTGGTGCAAGCGGGAGAAACGGGGTTTTATTGCCGATTATGTATTGATTGGAAAATTGGAATCTATACAAACCTCACTAATATCATCTGTAAAACCGTTGGCAAGAGTGTGGTCTGATATGCTAGTAGCATAGAATGTGGTTTCCTTCTCCGTTCGATGTTTTTTAATTAATACTCGACTAATTAATGAACTAATCAGCAGTAGGACAGCCGCCGTTACCCCAATTCCAATGTATATCAGGTAACGTTGATTGATTTCTGAAAAACAATACAGGATATTAGACGTTTATTGATTTTGGAGGGGCTTTTGTGATCAGACACACATCGAGCCAATTCTTCTAATGGCTATAGGTTTCACACTTTATAAAGGCCTCCACGTTTCGGAGTCTATTAAGCTCCATTTTGTGTTATCTTTAACATAGCTCAATGGATAACGGATTGTGTGGTTTAGAGTGTGCATGTTTGAGAAAACGTTTTATTTTAGTTGAACAAGCTGCACTTGTCTAGCGTTACTGATTAATATCTTGGCGGAGTAGGTAGCTACTCAAGGCAAGAACGGCTATTTTCTTTGAAAAATAGCTTCGGAAAAGCTCTTAATCTTAATATATCCTATCTATACGATTAATACAGTCTAATTCTTCTGACGGACTAGAATCCCAACAATTGAAACTGGGGGTTTGAAGCCACTGAGGTGATTCAGAACGTTTAAAGTCATTCCACATAGTAAGATGCGCAGCATTAAGCTGCTGAACGGCTAATCTCTAAAACCCGCTCCATTGTTCAAATTAATGGAGCATTAATGTAGGAATAATGACAGTCAGTAACCCCTTTCATAAGATTTCCGGCTTGTGAGCCACTCGTAAATAAGGTGTTATACGGCAAAAATATTGAGAACAATTAGTTAATGAATTAATTAATTGAAAATATTAATGCCAAACTTACCAAATCCTAAAGCATGAGATTTATCTTGCGAAGCAGTATCTTCGGCGTTCTTCGTCAGGTTATCCTTGGAAGCATTATCCAGCTGCGAGATGGGAGGCGAAGCTGCTGACTCTCTAATGTGTTCGTTTTCTGTGTCGTAATTGTCGAATTCATCGAATCCTTCATTGGGATTGTAATTTTTCTCATCTGGTTCCAAAACGCCTTCATATTGGTCTTTTAAAACACGCCTGGGAACTGAAACAATAACATTGCCGTCATGAAATGGCATATCATTTAAAAAGCTTTTACCATTTCGGGTTTAAACTCAAACAACATAACAGTAGAATTTTTTTTGACTGCAAATCAAGTTTTTACATGTGAGGAGCTTATTTTCAAAACGCAATTTCTGCAAAAAATTTCGCTACTGAGTGAGAGATTTCGATTGCCACTTGAATTTCTATTCAAATAGCTGTTTCTGCCATGTAAAACGCACACCAATTTTAGTGTTTTTTTTTTCAAAACGCAATTTCTGCAAAAAATTTCGCTACTGAGTGAGAAATTTCGATTACCACTTGAATTTCTAGTCAAATAGCTATTTCTGCCATGTAAAACGCACACCAATTTTAGTGTTTTTTTTT